TTTTAGCTTACTTTCTGAGTAATGGTTTGTAAAGCATGCACAGTTCTCTACTGCTCTGTAGTAGAGAATCTAAAACGTAAGATTATTTAAGTTTTTTTCATGCATTCAGTTTGCAGCTGTTAAATACTTGTGATTTTATCTAGTGAGACAGGTGAAATATTCATACAACACGAAAAAGAAATTGTTTTCCTGCATGCAAGCTCTGTGCAATTAAATTATGCCATATAAACCACACCACTTTAGGATATGGTCTTAGGGTACTGAAATTAGTTGATTAGAGCAGTGTTTACTCTGCTGCTTCTTTCTTTAAGAGGAATTTAAATTTGATTGGTTCCCCTTTTACATATACTCTCATTCTAAGTATTGTGAGTAGTTCCAACAATGCTGTAACTGTGATATATAGGTGCCACTAATGCAACTTTGTACAATACAGTGATGTCTTTGAAATGCTGTGTAAAGAGCTTTCACTTTGACCTGTTGTGCAATGCAGTATGGCTCGCTGCACAAACTGGTGAGTGTTTTATGGTGACCCTGGCTGGGCTGTGCTGGCAGGATACACGTCTCATTTCAGCCCTGGTGAGGGACGCTGGTCATGCACCTCCTTACAGGCGTGGAGCTGACCTCTCTGATAATGCTCCACGCAGGCAGGGTGGATGGCTGCATGGATTTTGTGTGAGGGGACAGTTGAAAGTGTCAGATCTGCTGGCAGTGCCCTGGTCAAAAATGTTCTGCCACCTTTGCTGTATGAAGAGGTCATGGTGCAGAGGGTGAGGTGGTACCATATAGTGCTGTTGCCAAGCTCTGAAGGCTTTCCCAGGCACGTTTCCAAAGAGAGGATGGCTGCATTGCCACTGGTTTGTTCTGGTGGGGCATGGGCTGCAGTGGTGTTCCTGTGTCACGTGTGTAGGTCCCTAACTCGGTTTGAGTGCAGTCTGTCCTTGCTGAGGTGCAGGCACAGCTCAGGAGGGAGGACACAGACCCTATGTGTGTCATCCCTCTTCCTGGGCTGTCTGCCCCCAGCACCAGCTCCTCGCACAGCTCAGCTCAGCCAAATCTGCTGTGTCCCAGAGTCAAAGCGAGGGTCACCAAGACATGACGAGGCCTCCTCACTTGTCAGAAGCCATGTGGCAGAAATTCACCGTAGAGGAGAGAAGGTTTCTCCCTCACCCCACTCGGTACTAATCACGGAGAACAATGCTGGCTGCTTTGCAAAATATTAGTACTGCTGTACAAAATCTGGGCCTCTGCTTATGGCCCGCTGAGTCAGACTTGTTTACTTCATTGAAGTATTAATCTGTGTCCCTGATTGGCAGTCAAGAGCTCCAGGCTCCAGGCTTAATAGAATTTCAAACCGTACATTATGGAGTTTTGCTGAAAATTTGAGGCTTCTATTGCACTTTGAATGATATATTCTCCCTCACTCCCCTTTGGTCTGTTTTTCAGGGCTGAGGTTAGGATAGATAATTAATTCCTTCCATCCCAAGCCTTGTCTTTTAATTTAAGAATTTTCTTTAGCATCTGCCAGAATCTTCTCCTGAGAGGTTAAGCAATGAAAGAGCCATTAAATTAACTTCAGCCATTAATTTTTTTTTCAGTAGGATGAAACAGCACTTCAATATATCAAACCATTTCTGGTTTATTTGATTTCATGTCATGACAAAGAAAAGAAAGGTGATAAGAAGAGGCTGTTTTTCTGGTTGTGTGAGAGTGTGGTGCATGTCTTCTGGTCCTGCGGCTTACTCCTCTGTTAGCAAGAAGTAGGACATGAGGAGTGGATCAGTGGAGTGAAACAACTATTGCCAAGGGCCTGATGTCCACACTGCATAGTTGGGAAGATAGCTGGAAGAGGTTTAGCTATACTTAGCTAATATATCACTTTCCTCAGAAATACTTTGCTAGTGCCTGTAAAGTTTTTCCTGAGAACAAGGCAGTGTCAAGCTCTGTTACGCTGTCCTTTGATATGTTGGGAGATCCATAAATACTGTCACTGGTGAGTCACTCTTGGCCAGGGCTCTGATCACTCTTCTGCTCATCAGTCTGCCCAGTTCTCCATGCTATGTACTTACCACTCTAAGAAACCCGTATGTTTTTTTCAGAGACATAACTTCCCCATTTGGAGTACTGTGTAACTTAGATTTTTTTCCAAGGAATACATGAAAACAAATTAGTACAATGTCTCCTGGGATGGTCTCTCTGGCAAATTGGACATACACCTACTGCAAAGTCTCAAACAGTAGCAGCAGGATTGGGCTTATGTATCAGAAACACAGCAAAGGAAAAACGGTTGGTCTTGGAGTGTCTCAAGTTAGCAATTCCACACAGAATTTGTGGTGATTTATAGTGCACCTGCTAGCAAGGCTGAAATTTCACTGCTGCATTGAAAGTTCCTATGCCTCCTCCTACCTGTCTAGTTGCTCTGCTTCTCTGTACATCCAGTCTTATAGTTCTTCTAGCAGAAGATCATGAGTCTTTTGCAATTGTATCATACCTGTCAATTCACAGACTTGACAGCTTTCCTGCTTTTGGCAATAGACTGTTTCTTTTACTGCCAATATATCGCCTTACTGGGTTTCAGGGCAGATGGTAGCTGGAGATGCTGAATGTCAAGAAGTTCTGGAGAAACTCAGACACATTTATGGATCAAACCTCTTGTGCATGCACTGGAAGCCCAGTGCTACAGCTGTGTTAGGTTGCCTGTGTGTGTGATGGATGGGCTACATGTACAAAGACAGTTTGCCTGGGCCACAGTTGGTGTGCAGTGTGTCTTTTATAGATCAACTACATACATGTACAGGGGAGAGTGTGTAAAATTTGCCAATTATATGAGCTACTTCCTGGTATTATTTCTGCTTACACATCACTTTAGTTAATAATTCTTCCTAAATGATACATGTAAAGTAGGTATGTGTTTCAAACCAAGGGAAAGTAAGGACTATCTGAACTGATTGTACAAGTCTGTAGAGTAACTGTTTTCATCATGTCTGTTTGAATAAAATAAGGATTGGAAAATCCACTTTTTACTCTATTTCAGTGTTGGTATAGCTGCCCAAGACACAATTGCCTGGAGGAGAATGTTGTTGCAACTGTACCAGGATGCTGTATTTTGGAGTTATTTTTAAAATCTCAGTATATGCTTGGGTTTCATTTCATTCATCTATGCATAGACATTGAACGTCAGTTGTTCTAGATGCCTCTGTAGTTAGTAGACTCCTCCCATTATAAGCTCAGTCTCCTAAATTATTTGTGCAAATAGACCCTGGCCATTAACTGTTCCTCTGTAGGTAACCTGAACAGTTCATTCAAATGGGCTAAGTCACCTGCAGATGGTGAAAGCTGTTAAATCAGATACAAAGGAATTCAGACTCTTGGCAGCCTGTGAGTATTATGCCTGATGATGGATCTATTCAGCATGATTCTCCTTATTTAAAGAACTATTTAATGTTATTTTTGCACGCCATAAGTAACTGCTTTAACAGGAGTTGTGGAGAGAGGTAGTGTAGATACCACTGAGCAGATTGTTCACTTCTCTTGTCTTATATATATTATTTGTGTCTCCTTTAGTCTTCTGGTACCAGTATCACAGTGGATATCGCTGTCATGGGAGAAGCACATGGGCTCATTACAGACCTTCTGGCAGATCCTTCACTGCCCCCCAACGTGTGTACTTCGCTGAGAACAGTGAGCAACCTGCTTAATACACAGTTAACCTTCCAAGCTATCCACAAGCCAAGGGTGAACCCTTTGGTGTCCTTCAGTGAGAACTACACCTGCTCGGACTCAGAGGAATGTGCAGAGAAAGGAGAGAAACTGGCTGTTCCCAAGGTGAGCACTGGACCCTGTCTGTCACGGTGTGCATATTTCATCACAGGTTTTGGCTGAGGCTTAGGAGAGACAAAATGATACGGAGCAGAGCAGGCAAAAGCCTTTCAGCAAATAGATACACAAGTCTGCCCTGTTACTTCTCACACAGAAATTCCCCTCCCACTCAAAAGATCTGAGCCACTGTGTGTGGGATGACTATTCTCATCAATGAGCAGTTAAGAATTATGAGGGACATTTTTGCCCACTTTGAAGACTGGAATTTTAAATTCTGTGTGAATTTCAGTCTCTTCTTTTCCTTAGCTAGAGGTGTGAAACCTATAGAAGTCAATGCAAAAGTCCCTACTGATGCCCTCCAGGTGCTTTGCATCAAGTTTAAAACAAACAAAAAAGATCAGCATGATACTTAGTATGACAAATATTGTAAGCTCATGAGAAGTAGTCGAGAAAAAAAAGAAGACTGAACAAAAAAATATCATAGTTATATGTTACTAACTTGACAGATGGCTTTATGAATGCTCAGGAATTCAACAGGAAATAACCAGTGTTAATCACTCACATTTAGTCAGTGAACAACTAGAAAAAAATGCATCAGCTTCAAAGTAGTTTGAATTGTAGGTTCGTTGCTAATTAGCTGTCCTGCAAGGCTTACGTTTCACTTCTGAAACTAAACCAAAATACTTTTGTACTGTGATTCCCCTTGTAAAATTAAGTATAGGCAGAGTACGTTGCACAGGCAAATGCTTTTAATTTTTAACAGTTCAGTTGGCACAGCCAGCATTCATTCCAGCATTTCCCAGCATCTGAATTGCAACACTTGTGATTCTTTTTTTAATATATTTTAGTGTGATGATAATTATTGCCCTATTTGCCTGTGTAGCAGCTGTATATGTGAAATGGATGTTCACAGGTTTTTAAGCACATTTTCCAGTTTAGTTTAGTGTACACAGCTATAATGGCTGTACTCTAGGCTCTGCAGGGAAAAGTTCAGTGGAAGAACACTGCCATCACATGAGCAAACACAGTGAACAGATACCAGTTTGCTGTTGCATAATACCTAGTGAGGAGAAGAGAAATGAAGGATGAAGAAATGAGTTAATGCTACAGAGAACTAATTTGACTGAAGAACTCACTGACCTAAATGTATTACGGTTCATAAAACTAATAGTTTGCAGTCCTTTATTTAAGTGTCTAAATATAGATTTAGGGTCTTTACCTGAAGCATCCGATGTGGATCATTTGGGGTAAGAAGATAGTATGTTAGCATATTTAGCTGTAAGTTTAAGCTTCAGAACTTGAACTTCAGAACACTTCAAAAGTGTTTCTTCATCTCTTATCTATCTCTTAACCCTCTGGCACAGTGAAAGCTCTCCATCACATAGTTCTTAACTATAAACACTTCCAGAGAACTACGAGAAAATCATCTTACAAAATTAGAACATCTGCCACAGCAAATCTGGATCCACAAGGACTCTCTGTCATCATCCTTTATTATCTTTGCCTTCAAAAATTCAGAAAAACAATGCGAGTCCTGTTAGTGGAGAAAACAATCAGTCAGATGAAAGAAAACTGGGGGGTGGTCAAGAAAAATCTATTGTAAACAGTGATGCTTTCTCTAAGCTTTTCAGGAGACATATCACAGAGTGTCAAAGTTTTATTTCAGTGAGTCATCTTTGGATTGGGTAGATATAGCAGGAAAAATGTTGAAGCTCCCCTCTGTTATTTTTCTTGCACCCTTTTTTGCCTTGAATCTCCGATTCTGAGAATTTATGACATTATAAGTATGTTGGAAGTACACCTGGAGATAGTCTAGTCCAGTGTGGAGATCATTGGGTCCCATCCCTCATCACAAGCAGGTTTCTCTAGGTTCAACCTAGGGCAGGTCATTCAGGAGCACGTCCAGTTGGATTTTGAATATATCCATGGATGTAGACTCCACAGCCTCTCTGGGCAACGTCTTTCAGTGTTCAATCATCCTCAAAGTAAATTTTATTTCAATTTATGCCACATTGTCTCTTGCCTTGTCACTGGACATGACTGGAAAAAGCCTGTCTCCATCTTCTTTACATGCTCCCTTCAGGTGTTTGTGTACATTGGTAAGATCTCCTCTGAACCTTCTCACCCAAGCAATCCCAGCTCTCTCAGCCTTTCCTTTGATGACAGATGCTCCAATCCCTCAGTCACCTTTGTGACCCTGATGACTTGTTTAAATGCTTTTGACTACATTGTATAAAACCAGAATTTTTAAAGAGCACAACCAACACTAGCTGACTCCAGTGAGAGGTCAAAGTGTTGAACATCTGTGGCTATGGGACTGTGTGTATAAAGCTTGAAAGAGGTCCCAGACCCTCTAGGCATGTGAAGCACCGTGTTGAACAGAAGGTAGGCACCATAATACCTGAGAGAATCCAAATTTAAAGCACCTCATTAGGTGCTGTCAGACAGAATTAATCAAATGGAAATGTTTTTCTTTGGCATGTTTAAAGTTTTTGCAAGCCCATATAAACTCCAAGCACTTGATTTCTCTCCAGCGCTTACGGAGGAGTTTGCCTCCAGGACTGCTGAGACGAGTGTCCTCGACTTGGACCACAACAACTTCAGCCACAGGACTGCCCACACTGGAGCCAGCTCCAGTGAGAAGGGATCGCAGTGCCAGCATCAAACCTCATGAATCATCTTCATCCAGGTGACAAATGACCTCTTTTCTCTTTTATGTCTCTCTTTGGGCAGATTTCTTTGGTTCTGTGTGATAATAACTCATTTGAAAATGCCGAATCCAAAGTGTGTTGCAGCTACTTCACCATGTTCTCTAAATTGAGTTGCCAAAGAGGTGGTGCTCCAAATTTTAGTCAGATTATGCCCAAAATATTCCTATTATTGGGAAGCAAAATAAGAATACATAAATCTACTTATGCTAGCAAAGTTCAGAATGGCACAATAAAATGAAAAACAAAGGACAGGATATCTGGTTACTTTTTTCTTTATGTGCATCAGTTTCCTCCATGGGTATTGCCCAGTCCAGAAAAGATTCTAACAAGTAACCCAGCTGCTGAACATCACTTCTAAGAACACACCTAGTGTTGTGGTCCTGTCATTAAACCAGTTCATAAAGCACTTTTCCATCCTCTAGATACTAAATTCCAGAACACAAACCCAAATTTTAAGATGGGATTAAGTTAGGATTCTGAACCCCAGAAACTGAACTCTGTGGTCAATGTGAAAGAAGTGCTCCACTGCAGCACTTAAAATTAGGGAAAATGCAGGAACCATCCTTAATCCCAAAAGTCTTGTTTAGTTAAAAGGGTTTTCCTAATTTGCCACAAGTAGCAGGTACACACAGCTGTCTTGTTGGGGTGTAGAGTGAATGCCTGCTTCTATTTATGATGTAGTTCTTTATTTATTCATTTAAGATGCCCCTTATTTTCAAGGGTTCTATGAACAGGTGATGGTACTACAACCACAAAGCAATAGTTAATAAAGCATTGAAATTAATTTCAGCAAAATCACTGGAGGAATTGTACATTATTTGTTTGTCTTGCCTGGAAAAAGAGTTCGGGATTCAGTCATGACATACACTTTAAGGTTACATTCATATAGTCCATTGTAGAATCAGAGCAATAAATCTGCAAAGAGGTTTGCTTAGGCTGAAGTACCTAACTACCCACCCCATATTGTGCCCAAAATTTAGTGCCCATTTCCTAAAGCATGTCCCTGAAAGGCTTTCAGAGTTACCCAGAAGCACACTACTTCTCACTGTTCTGAAAAGACAGGTTTTTGTCTTATGGCTGTAGTCCCTCATGACTGACTACATCAGTTAGATATTCCCTGTTCACTCCTACCCATTCTGTTTTTCTTAGGACCTGACCTTCAGCCAGTATCATAAAATACATAGTCCCCAGTATCATAAAATACATAGTCCTCCCCTGAAACAGAGACGTTGTGTCCACTCACCTGCTTACAGCCAGCAGCTGACTGGTTTAGGGCATTTGCAGAGGACTACCTTAATAAAGTTGCTTCTCTGCCTGAGGGTGCTCAGACCTAGGTATCTCGAATTTGGGGACTTCCATGCTACCACATAGCCTGAAGTGAGCTGCATTTAGCCCCTCACAAGGGCTGTGGCAGATAATCCAGTAGCAGCCAGTGAAGGAAGGAGCTGATGGCTGTTTGTCTCGTGGGAAGGGTGCTCGTCTGTGAGAAGAGAGGCTTGGGTCCCAGGCGCCATTAACCATGATATACTGCACATTTATTTCAACAGCATTTCCTTCTTTCTGGCTCTGTGAATATTTTTCTGTTCTAGTCAGAAAGGAGCAGAGCCTTCAAAGGGAGAGTGGAGAGTGGGCAGTCAGCCATGAAGCCTGATAGTTATGGTGCCACCCTGTGAGAATAAAGTTCAGGTCCTCTCCCCATATCAGCAAGGGCTATTATCTTGGAGCTGGTGGATGAGAAGAGTGTGGAGACATGCTTTGCTGTGGGGAAAGGGAGAGCAGAGCAAAAGCACCAAATTCAGGAGGAGAATTCAGAACTAGATATTAGAAGACTCACATGTTTGCCTGCAATTCAAAATTTGGTGCCAGTAGTGGAGAAGGAGGTAGGACCTGCGGAGTTCCAACATCACCAGTGTTTACTGTTGAATATCTTTGGTACATGAAGTCCCAGAGAGCTGCTTTGATTGCCCTTTGTTCCAGAGAGGTAAACCTTTCCCATAGAGGATGCTGTCATGCAGGGAGACCTAGGTGGTCTAATGCAGCCTGCAGAGTACACTGAATGTCTGGTGCAAGAAAAATATGTGGTTAGCCAAAGTTCCCTTTGTGAGGAGTCCCATGTATCTCAGTAAAAGTAAATATAAAGAAGCTACAACCAAATGAAAATGTTCTTCAGTTACTGGCCTATGGTTCCCAGGGTGCATTTGATTTATACTGTTGATCCCAGACTCTCACGTAGTGTGTAAGCATCCTAAGATGGGAATCAGAGGGAGAAAGAGAGCAATTAAATATTATCCTTGGTCCTTTTCTACAGTTGTTATATAACTCTGCATGATGAGCCAACTAAGCAGGCTATCAATTCTTCCTACGTTTAATGTTGCCAATTGTATAATTATAGCTCTGTCAACCCTCCCAGCCTACTGTTTGCAGTTCTGCTTTTACAGTAGGAGAAACAATATGTATTCCAGAAAGGGGAAACATGAATCCTATAAGTCTAATCTTAAAAATTTGGCAGACCAATACAGATTTGCTCTCAAGGAAAAGAATTTTGAACTGAAGGGAAAAAAAAAATCTTGATTATCTGCCACTTCCCTTGTACCAAATTCAAGCACGCCGCAGGTCACAAAGAAGGAAACAATTCATGGCTTGAAGGGCAGGAGAAGGGAAATTGCATTGGAGTTGCACTCTAGATTTCTGTAGCTACATATTTGCAAAAATCCACCTTAAACGTCCATTTAAGATTAGTAACTGTGTTTTCTTCCAGCTTCATGTCACTAAACTGGTAAGACACGGCCCTCTTGTAGCTTCAAATGATTTGGGAAAAATAATAGAGCTTCCATATTCCTCCCCTCAGTCACTTCAGTATCCAGTGGTTCTCCCTTAAGAAGTCAAAGAATGTGATCTGGGGGCATTTGGTTTGGTTTTTCTTTACAGTGGGCCAGAATATTATATTCTTCTGTCAATTAAAAACCAAAACCACAAAACAAACAGACACAAAAATTAAAAAATAGCTGGATTTTTTAATTCATTTTACTACATCATGCATTACAGGAATTTTGGCCAATGAAGACAATCAGCAAATATTTTTGTAGATAGTGCTTGCTTTTCCAAAATAATGTGTTCGTAGAGTTAAGACAATGTGACATGCTTTTTTCTTTCAGAATACTTTGTTTGGGGTTAGTTGTTTGGTTTTTTTTCCCACATTCAGCTGGGACTGGGCTGCTTTTAAAGGCTGTCTTCTTCTGCCTTGCATGTCATCTCATCACATGGATGTGAGGCGGTGAGGAGAAACATGGAGCCTGACAGGCCTAACAGATCTGTCCAGAGAAGTCACAGGCCTCATGACAAAAGCCAGGGCTCCTTCTCTGCAAGTAGCTGACATTTGATGAGCATCATTCAGGGAAACAATGATAAATACAATTCTCTCGCTTTACAGAAATATTTGATCTCTTTTGGTACAGAGCTACAGCCTGAAGGCTGAAAGCATGCACCCATCCTGCTGTAGGGCACCAGTCTTTGTTCCCCACAGACACAGGCACCCTATTTTCCATCAGTGAGTTTCTCCTGGATCAGGGACCAATGTCTTCAGGATCTGACAGTAGGATTTTTTTTGAGATGCAGCATGTGTTTCAGTTGGGTAGAGCATGAAGTGCTTCACCCAGAGAAGAGGAACACCACTAACAGCAGCAGTGCAGGGCTCTTCCAAGCCTCTTCCAGCCTCCTGAGGAGCCCCTCCAGTGCCTGAAGGGTTACTGGGTGTCTGCCTTGGCAGATGCAGCACAGAAATAAAGGAGACTGATTTTTCATTTACACTGAGAACTTCTGGCTCTTGTAAGGAGGTGTTAAAAGAAAATATTAATTTAACTTATTTCAGCTTCTAAGCCTCTTTGTACTATCAGAACAATATAATGAAGGCATCTTTGTATAAATAAAGTGAATAGATCTCAGTTCTGAAGGAAGTAGAGCTTTGGAGTGTCTGCACTGTAAATATTTTTGCTGAATACAACACTAAGTGCCTTACAAATAGCAGTTCAGACGGCAAATAGTTGCTGTTCTGCTCATCAGATTTTGTGCTTAGTATCCCATACTTCTTACGCCTAACTCCGTAAGATCTGTCGTTGAGGCTTTTTAGTGTGTTGAACAGTGCTTGTTTGTGCTCTGGTTTTGCAGCACTGACTCCTGGAACAGCTCAATTCTGATGACAATCACGAAGAGCAGGTCCTTCTCCACCTCCTATGCCATGTCCTCTACCAACCACCTGAATGCCAAAAGGCAGAACCGGCAAGGTGAGTGGGCATCCACCCATGGCTCCCTCGGGCTCACTCAGCTGCCGCCCCATGCCTAGCACATGCAGCTGCTTTTGATCGCAGTCTAGTCTGTGTCTTTTCTTATTTTTCCGTCAATATAAATACAGTTATTTCCTTTATATTAAAAAAAAAAAAAAACCAAACAAACCAAAAAACCAAAACACCAGTGACTTAAAATACGATAGCTCTTAGTGATGCTGTTGTAAATGTTTTGACTTTTATGATTTCTCAAGGTTGACCATGACATGATTTGGTAAGTGTGATCGTGAATCGTGTTGTGATTTATTATATCCATGTAATTCCCTTGAGTACAACAGAGCTGAGAACAGAGTGTTTTCTATAATATTTGTTACCTTAACCGTTTGTGTATATTGCCTGACTGAGATTTCCTGAAGCACAACCTTCATTAGTTTCTTCTGCTTCCAGAAAGTGTTAGTGCTCTTTTGCCCAAATCCCTGAGCTCCTGCATGATGCTGGGAGAGCTCCATTCCATCACAAGCAATTCCTATGGGCACTTCTTGACTGGAGTAAAAATTTTGGCTCAGCATGTTATGCAGAAGATTGATACTTTGATATTTTATACTGGTTACAACCATGCATTTTTAATTATGATTTGTTTTTATGTTCCAACTAAAGAATTCTTCAGTTTGCACTCATTACTGCAAATTAGACTTTTATATATCAGCTCCATTGGCAACATATAATAATCCTTAGTAGAAATTGATCTAGCTAAATCTGTAAATCTGTTAATTTACAAAATGCGTATTCAATTATGCGTAGAGATACAGCATTTTAAAAAAATGCTGGCTATATGTATGTAGGCAAAATGCTGAGCTAAACTCAAATGTTTTCATATGTACTTTCACATCACATTGAAGTTGTTTTCTTTCTTCAACACTGCACATATGAAAAAGTTATGGAGAACGTAAGCAGATGGATGTCCTTAAAAAAATTCTCCCTGTATAGTTATTCTTCCTTTATCTTGATTGTTCAAAATTCTTCACTGTAGCAAGACACATTTTCTCTTATTGTTGCCAATAAACAGTGAAGTGTTCTGTTCTTGAAAGTAGATTTGCATTTTTCTGGTAAATTTATTTATTTTTGGCTACCTACCCTGGAAAATTACTCTTTAAAACAAAAACACAGCCAAAGATACTGCAAAAGACAGGAACTCAGACTAGCAGTAGAAAGCCAGATGCAATTAGAAACATTGTGAAAATTGCTGTTTAAATTCACAGGACTTACTTTAAACTGTTGAAGGATGACTGTATATATGTTGTATTCCCTAATGGTCATGAAGATTACCTGGTAACATCCAGCTCAAACATAGATAATAATCCAAGTCAGTCCCCTGTGCAACTAACAGACTGCAAAATGTTTTAAAAAACAGATTTTTGTTGAATGGAAAGCAGATATCTCAAAGAATTAGTAGGTGTGAATCAGGGGCTTTCTGTATTTTAAAGCAATTTTCATACGTCATGGCCATCTGATAACTTCCTAATTCCTCTGTAGGCTGTAGGTTTCTGATCTCTAGATTAGCATAATACCATTGTTGCAATCATTGAATTATGACAGTGATAGATACCACATGTTTCGTGAAGAAATACCTTAATCAACACTTAGGAGATGTTGAGTATCTCAGAATTACAAACTGTCAGAGTTTGTTTTTAACTCTTTAAATATCAACAGTAGATCATACTTTTAACCTCGTATCATATTGTTACCAAAGAAAAAGCACTGGAACCATACACATATATCCTGCAAGGTTAGTATTTCATAAACTTAGATCAATATATTGCTTTATTCTAAGATAATTTTTGGGCCTGTGATGCATTAGATAGAGTTCACAATTCAAACATAAAACCAGTTAAAGTTTCTAAGCTCTTTATATAATTTGGCTTTGAAGATGAACATGGAAAATGAACTCTTGAGTCCCTACAAACTTTAGAGCTGGAAGTATGCCAATTTACATACATTTCCTTCTAAAATAGATTTATGTTTGCTCCTCTGTGCTTTATTGTGAAAGGGACCTTTTTATATGAGACTAGAAAATGCGAAGTAGATGCAAAATGAAGGCTGCACTTTGTCTCAGATGTTGGACTGGCAGATGCATTTCATCTTGGCAGTGGCATTCAGATAAAATAAGGGAGAGAGAGAGAACTACATCTTGCTAGTGTTCACACCTGTGAATATTGGCAGATTCTGATACACTAGCTCAGGAGTGCAACACCATGTGGTACAGGTGATGGTCACAAGACTCCCATAGTGAGCAACAGATAATCAAATATTAACTCAAGCTGCACAAGATCAAGGCTGAAATCTTTGAGTAATGTGGAAATGGCATTGTAAGTACAATATGTTATATTCATATAATCGATGACTGCTAAAAATTGTGGGTTTTTTGGTTTATTGCTAGTCTTCACACATACAGAAATTCAAAGTTGCTGGGAATGTGTGTAAGCCTTTCTTGTACTTGCTTTCAGGTGGAGACAGTGAAGCAATGAGAAAATGCAGATGTGTCTGGGAACTGCCTGTTTGGAGCTTGGTGTCTGTCACTAGAACATGTTGATACCAATAGTCATGCCACTAACACATGCCTTTCATTTCACTGCTGCCAGTTAGTGCGTCCTGCTCAATGGGGAGAGTATGCTTCCTGTTTTGAGCCAGATCCTCAGCAGGTAGAAGTGGCTGATATTAGTGGAGCTTCATCTCTCTGTGACAGCCTTTGCCTTGGCTCAGAGTGGAGGAGGGTTTTCTCTTTTTCCATTTGGAAACTATGCTGGTACCTATGCATCTGAAGAGGAGTATTTCTGCACAGTGAACTCATGCAACCATCTGCCACTTCTGTTAATTGACAAGACTCTTTCTTTTCTCTTGGCAGGTATCCCACCAAACATTTCACCTCTTACCTCCCCATGCCATTCACCAATTCAGGGGACGCCTGCCACAAGTCCTACCGGAAAAACACCTTCTGTGTCATTTCCAGACTCCACAGATACTGACACCAAGCAGGGCTTAAAGCCACACAAAGTCTTAACTTCTACTCAGAGTGCACCCAGCCTGTCAGACCCTATTATCAGCCCCTCTGTCATCTGCAGCAGGTAAGAGTCATTTGACACATGTTGGAATTGTTCCACGTTGTTCTCACGAACAAGCTCTTTTGGCCCACGTACAAGACTTTGTGATCTGCTGCAGTTCTTAGTACATGAGTAACTCTAGACTGATCCTGCAAAGTGCTTTTGAAGTGTGATACAGTGAGCTACTTTGATAGCTTTTGCTCATGTCCAGATGCACAGTCTGATTCATAAATAAATCCTTTGTCAACAACTTGCAGATCGCAAAGTTGGATCTCACGTTAACAGTTTGTGTTTCTCACGCCATGGCTTTAACAGGAACAGTCACTCTCAGGTCACAGGCCAAGTCTTTCAGAGCAAGCACCTGATGTTACACGGAAAAATCTGACTGCTAGCGTTTAACAGCTACTGGCCTGTAACCTTCTGATAAAGGTCTGCCAACAGCGCCTGAAGACTACGTCATTTTGGGCACTCTTTCAGAAGGAGTGGATCCCGTCCCCCCCAGGCTGAGTCAGATTATGCAACATTGGGATTTTTTTCAGAAATCAACTGCAGCCAGGTTCTTTCTGCAGCTAAGTGTTACAGGAACAGTTTTATTTCACACTTTAAAGTAGGCCATTATGAGATTCAGCAGAACTGCTCTGCAAAATTAGTGTTTTGAAAAGAAAGGTGTTCTTCTAATCTTCTCAGAAAGGATTCAGTTGCCAAGTTAGATTGCTGGAGTTTGCAATGTGTCCACTTCAGAACAGTGGGGAACACTGGTATTTAGAAACTTGTCCCAGTGCAGTTTCAAGTTTATCTTACTCATTAGATGTTACTTTTGGTCATAGTAGTGAGTGGTTTGTGATCATTGGCTAGCCAGCGGACAGCATGACATCTGAGGCTGGCTTCAGTGTTACTAAGTTTGACTATCTTTGGAAATAGTCTGTGGTTTCTGGCTTCAGCCACGTGACTTTCGATGTCTTCCCTTATGTTCAGGGCTAGGAAATGGGTGTGAGAAAGTCAAAACTGGTTGTGAGTTTGCTCAGTGGAGTCATCCTCACTGGAGTTCAGACTGAGATCCTGACAGGCTTTTAAGACTTATTTGGGTGTCTAAATAGAGACTAAGTGCTTTCAAAAGTTTTCCAAAGGTATTGCAAAACTAAGACTTGCACTGATTCATTTGAAGTTAAAACTACATTACACGTAAGCAGTAGACCATAAAAATGCTACTGTCTCACTAAACTGTGCTTTTATTACTAGTGACAGTATATTATTACTTTAACTAGTAACAATTATCACCGAAAGCTGTTTAAGAGAACAGTTAACAATTGCGTAAAAATGTCAGCAATAATCAATGTAAGGTTGTTGTAGATAGTAATGCAATAAATTTTCTTGATATGTGTAGACTTTGATTTCAATGTAATCATTAGTAAAATGTTCATTAGCTTTTATGTGGCTAGGGTCTGTGATCTACATAGGTTGCATAGCATAGTTAGGTTCTTAATTTCCTTTGTTTTCACATGCTTAGACTGTGTAAGCATTGCAGGCTACATTGCTGGCATAGGCTTTGTTGTTGATGATTTGAAACCATTATTTAAAATGTTATGATGTAATGACTGCTAATAGAATTGGCCTCCACTGGTACTAACAGTCACTATTACTTCAACATCCACTGAAAAATCATAAGTACTGTCACACTTCTAGCCATTAGTGTACAGAGATGTCATATCCACAGATACATGCTGAATGAGCAGGACATAAATAATGCACCCCTTAATAATGTAAACATAATTGTAAGATGAAAAAAATTATCAATGGAAAGAAGAACAAACCCCCAGATCAAAGCAAAAAAAAAAAAAAAAAAAAGCAAACAAAGAAACTGAATGGGTAAGACAAAGAAATTAAGAAACTTTGTAAGAAATTAACAAACACTGTAAACATTTTTTTTTAACCTTTGAGCTTTGACATTGTAGACTGGTAGCCTTCATGGTATGAAATTCCCTACTTTTACTACTAAACAACCTGCCTTGCTAGGAAATAATACCAAGCCAGCAAACCTCTGCCACCACCAAACCCATCGCTCCCTTAACAGCAAGAGCAGAAGAGGAAATAAACCCTTGATGGGTTCAGTGCTTTAAATCAGATCCACCCAGGCAGTGGCATCAAGACAGCAGTTTTACTGTACTCTTTTACTTACAAAGTGAAATGTGGTGTAGGACAGCAGCGTTTGAAAACTGCATTAAACAAGAACATACACCAGGCAGTGCTGTTAAAATAACTTGTAAGTAATCATTTTTAATTCTCTTGGTAGATGGTACAAGAATCTTGTGGAAAAAATGCAAAACAGTCTTGTGATTAAGAAGTAGATTATAATGCCTGTGCATGAAGGGGGTTGAGTTAAAGTTGCATGGACATGTTTACTTCTGACATAAAGCAGATTTCAAGTATTCTACTAGTAGCTCAGGAATTTTTTTTAATATAGTGTTTTATGTGGACCATACATATTAAATCAGTGTGAGTTTGCATGTATCCTAGAATCACAGAAGTACTCATAATTATGCAAAAGCCTTGTAGCATGACAGGAAATCAAAGGCTCTCTGCCTCTTTTACATTTTGGATTGTTAGCATTGACCTTATGCAAACCACAGGGAATGTGGGAGAGAAAAACTAAAGCATTTTTTTCTTCTTGCTTATAAACCTGAGTGATAAAAGATTAATTTGCTTGGCTATGCACTAAAAGTATCATTCTACACAGATTTGTATTTTTATTTAAAATTCTTTCAGGAATTCGTGATGTTTGCAGGGCATACCAAGATTATGTTTCGGATGACCCAGTCAAAAGCCATCTGGTGTAGGATTTCAGCCATTTTTATATGGTGAACTTATATTACTGAGAATTTTCTAGTGCAAAGTTTGACCACTCAAAATAATGTGATGGTTGCTTTGAAAAGGCTGTTACATATGAGATATGCCACAAAATACTGCCTCGAACCAGAGAAAGAACTGTTAAAATGTCAGTATTTCATGGACTTATTTGATATAATACTGCTAAATGAGGCTTCAGGCTTGTTAAGGTCTCTAGTGTTTTCATGATACATCATTGTTTCTTCAGATTGTAGACTCAACCATGTTGGGACATTGTAGTTTGTAATGTTCCAGCTGGTATTGAATTCACATTTAGGGGTTAAAGGGAATCACACACAAGGAATAAAGCATTTTAACAGAAGGAAAGAGCCTGTCATTTGAGAAGGTCATGATGTTGTGATCCCTCCCACAATGTCTTTCTGCTTTGGGAATGAGGAAGCAAACTCTGTCTTCTGGTTTCATTGCTAAATGTCTGGATGCTATATCACTCACCTCGTGTTCTGTCCAAAACAACCCCTTGGTTCTGATGTGTTTGGTATGTTGTCACCAAAGTAATGGCAAAATACCTTTTTCTTACTCAAGAGAAACATATTCAACTGTTAAGCAAGAAAAGGAGAGTAAAGCCACATCATGACCGTGTTCAAATTGAATTACATAAGATTGTATGGCACATTTTCATAATTTAAATTATTTTTATAGGGCAGCTGTAGTACAAAAACAGAGGATACTTTTGTACTTATAAACTTAGAGATAAAAAATCCATTTAAAAAACAAAAGTCATATAGTATAGGTTTACTGTTGGCAGCACAAATTTAATGGTGGTGGCCAGATAACGCAAGGTCCTTTTACATTCCTGATTTCCAGTGAAACTTCATCTCACTCTTGTACTTTTGTCTGGAGAGTGCACCCTGTACCACAGCTTATGCTGTCAGCAGGACATCATTTACATAAGGCTGTCTAATGTGCAGGGTTCTTTACTTTGTGTATATTTCTTGTTGTATTTCAGCTGTGGCAGACCCTATAACCAAATAGAAGCTGGTGATGGGACACTAGATAGAAATGATGGTACCACACACACCCTGAACAGAACAGGTAATTCTTTGTCTGTCAAAAACTTGTCATCCCTTAAAATTTATCAATCATTTACTGAAAGGGCACATAGCCTTGTCTGTCATAAAAGGAGAATATACACAGGGGAGACAGTACAAATTGTCTTTGAGGCTGCTTTGCCTTTTGCATGTACAACATGTGCCAAATGCTAAAGAAGCATGGAGTTAAAATGTAAAGGAAATATGTTTTTCTTCATCTAACCTGGTCAGATCAAATAATGCTCCTCACTATTTTTTCCCACTCTTCAATCCCTGATCCCATTTTTTTACACTCTGCAGGGTATATGCTTTAATGCCTTTGGACAGATTGTCCGACTTTGGACCCAGCCAAACAGCACATATGTATTATGAGTCAGAGATCCTGTTCCCATTATTCAGAAGGTCACAGGATGACTTTCATGCAGTCCTTGCTGTTCACACAACAAGCTTTGTGATCTGTGTTGTAGATGATCCTGCACAAGCCACTTCTGACTACGAGACCAACAACAGCGACAGCAGCGATATTGTACAAAACGATGATGAGACAGATTGCTCCAAAGAGCAGGGGCAGAAGGGATCCGTCTGTAGGACGTACACACCTGAGACCATCATTCTGCATCCCTTGATACCACCTGAGGTAGCTCGTTTAAGCTACACTTGCACAATAGACTGAGTGTGTAATGACACTGGGGGAAAAAAAATACAACAACTAAAGCAACAAAAAAACAAGCCAACAAAAATCCTCTCCCCCAACCCCTCTGAAAATAAAAACCACCCTGGGGCTGTCTAAATATTGTGACCATGGTTTTAAGCAACAATTACAGCAGGGTCCTACCTTGCAGTAGGATAATTGACTTCCAAGAATTGAAAGGAAGCATTGAAATGTGTGAGAGCTCCTAAGCACCAGCCACTTGTGAAACACTGCCCATCTATTTTGATGAATAACTATAAGTTTATGAATCTGGCATGAGGCATTTCTGAAATGTTTGGCTTCTGTGTTAGCATTGCCTTTAAAGGGAATGGATTGGAAGGAAGAGAAATGATCTTCTCAGACTACCAGCATGATATATAACCTTCCTGTTCAGCTGCTTCAGCTTCTCAATGGCCTTCCACTCTTGGCAAATATATACGCTGGTCCTTATTCTGAAGTGAATTAACACTTGAATGAGAGTGCTGCATATTATTGTTGTGGTTTGTCTTGACTATCAGAACACTGCAGTATGGTGAACAAGTGCTGATCTTCTCACAACTACTGTATTCAGCTCTAAGTTTGAGAAGTGGAGAGAAAGCTTTGGTTAGTTAAATTTTCCACTGCCTGTTTTACAGCTGAATTAATAAATTTAAGTTGGCATGAGCTCTTGAAAAATTTATTGTAATCTGCTGAATTGGGGTTGGACATGCTGGGAGAAGGCTTTTTCCTTGAGATATTTTGGCGTTTATTCATCTATAGTTTGTTAGGAATAATGAAATTCAAGGAAGCATACAGGGAGAAAGGAGGTGCACATCTTTTATTTGCGGACTTTGAGAAAAAGGTAGGTATCAGTTTATGAAGTAGAAGTCTTCACTTAGACTGAGCTCTGTTAGCCGTGTTCTATTGTAATGAATGGGGCTGAGAAACTGGGAGTTTCTCCTTCTGTAATGCAGCAAATTTTACAATGAAGAAGACAGACTCCCTCGGAAATGAATGAATGATTCCCATGAATGAACAAAGGAATGTGTCTCATGTGTAAGTTCAGAGACTGATGTTTCATGTACAGAATTTCCTATTCATTCAAGTGAAACAAATTATAAAGGAGAGTGACTGGCTGCAGGCCTGGTAGAAATGAGGACATCCCCACTGAGCTAAGTACAGTACCATCAGCTTACAGATGATGCTAATGTGACTTTAGTTTTTAAGAACATACCCTTTTTGCATGAGATCCTTCACAGAACTAAAATTACTTTTTATTCTGATTTCTGGCACAGGACAAGCCTATACTTGCTCCTGAGCCTCTGGTTATGGACAACTTGGATCCCCTGATGGAGCAGCTAAATAGTTGGAACTTCCCAATCTTTGATTTGGTGGAAAAAATTGGAAAGAAATGTGGTCGGATTCTCAGTCAGGTGAGAAGGAGGTCTTGTCTGCAATGACTGGCTAGATTATTGGCAGATTTAGACCAAGTAGTGTTAAGACTCCTTGTCCTTACAAACTCATCATCCAGTGAATTCTGATCCTTGCTACCTAATTCAAAGCTGACAATATGAACTCAGTCTCATTACTTTTCCTTACTCTTTGAAAATGTCTATAATTTTAGATTTAAAAATGTGAAAGAAAAATACCACACACCTATTTTTCCTGCTGCTCTCTGCCAATGAGTCTACATGAACCTTTCTAAATATTCTCTTCTATCTGGAGGAGGTGCTACAACTCCTTATTGAGTTTTACTTTATGAAAGAATTTCTCATGGGGTTCAGCACGGAAGGGCTAAACAGTAAACAGAGAACTTTGATCCTTTTCTGTACTGGAGATTTCAGTCAGGCTGGGCAAGAGAGCAAGGTTTCAGGAAGTGAGAGAAAAAATAGTCCTTGCTGTATTCCCTCACCTCTAAGGAGTCAGCACTTTGATAGTAAATTCATAACATTATTATGTAAGGAATATTAATTTACTATGAATCAGGATGAGGGAACTTAGTAGTCTTTCTTTCAACTATCAGTATTTCACCCTCTCCTGTAAGCTGATTGCAGGTACTGACACAGCCCTTCTCTACCCAGCACATTTATTGTCACTTCATAACCACTTCCTTGGTTGCATCTTCCTTCTGTGGTATGCCCCTTTTCCTGGCACAATGACAGATTAGCCTTTTTTCTTATGGAAGTATTGGGGTTTATTAAACAGGAAAGACAAGTAATTATTACTGTTTAGGGATGGAAGGAAAAAATAAAATCTGACTGATCTAGTATTGCTTCAGTTGCTTCACAAGGTGTTATGTAGTGATAAGTTCTGGAAATAAGAGATTATGTTAATTGGTGTAATGTGGCACAATTAACACCCCCCACAAACACAGAGGTTACCCTGTCAGGCAGATCTCAGTGCAACAAGCTCCAGAGAATCCTGTAGCAAATCTTGGTCCCTTGGTGGTTAACTATTATTCAACTAGATTCAGTTATCCAGTGGTCAACCAGGAAAACCACAGCATGAATTCAAATTTATTTTGTGGTCTGCCTTTTATTGTTCTGTAGCTTGGCAAGTAAAATCTATGCTCTAACCAGCCTGCCAGCTCTCTAGGTTAATTTTAGAGAAATGAGCAAGCTGGCTGGATGTGGATACTGATACAAATTTCTGATGATCACTGAGGCACTTTTGCACTAGACTGTGAGTGTGTATTTGAAGTGCTCTTCTCGATTGTATTGCTCACACTGTTTTCTATATAGCACAGAATTAGAATAGAAAGATAAATGAATCAGAAGCAAAAACAGAGTGTTTTGTTTTTTTTTTTTTTTTAATGGCATAACCAACAGTTTGGATGAGCCAAAATTTGTTTTGGTTTTACAAGGGTTCCTCTATAGGTTTTAAGCACTTTACCAAGTTGAATGGAGTTCTGTACCTCTCTGAACAATTCCCCTGTGCCTCCCTCAATTTGTACTAAAGCTCCACAGTCCATTTCTCAACACCTGCATTTTGCACAGGTTCTGAACAGGTTATCCATTTTACAGGGCCACAAAATGAGACCTCTGAAATAAAATAGAGAAGCTTTAATAAATAATATTTGTGAACAAAATTAACAGTTTTCTAGAGCAGCTGTTCCTAATAGCGCACTCCCTAAAAGCAGAATGTAGAAAGTTTAACTTTGTTCATAAAATATGGATTCTTTAGTTCTTTTCTCTACTTGCTCAGATGTTCCTAACAAAATTACTTCCAGAAATAAGAGAACTAAAATAGGGAATTTTTTTCTCTAGCCAAGAGTATTGTCTTTTTCTTGTATCATTTTTAAATCCTGGAATATTATAAATAAATGAAAACAAAAGCCCTCTCTATATTTTGCCATTAAATGAATTCATCCATTAAAAAGAAAAAAGTAAATAGTAAATTAACAAGCTGAATTAACTATGTTTGCCTTGCTAGGTTAAATTTATGAGATGGAACAAAGCAGAGTTGACACGTGCCTCTAGGGAAGCATTCAGTTTAGAAAGCAAATGCTGGCTTAGCATCTTTAAAGCTGCTTGAGATGTTGGTTTCTTCTTTTTGGAATGTTAAATTGATTTAGACATATAAAAAGACCTCAAACCAGTCAGGGGCCGTAAAAGCATCTGTGCAAAGTACTGTGGCGAGCATTGTAAATGTGGCACTAACAAATATGCATGATAGGGGTTAGAGAGGAATTTACATACCAGTTTCATTTCAGAAAGGAACAGCAGAGCTCTCCAACTGAGTTGGTGCTTCACAACAAGCCATAAAGTTAGATAATGTCTGCAGTCACAATTAATATTCTTCTTACAGCTCCTATAAAATGAAAACCTGTGGAAGAGAAATTAATTTGCCTTAGAAGCAAATAAAATGAAAAAGAATAGGCTCAAGTCAAGGTCTCTAGCTTCTGTTACTGGGCCATAGAGACGAATGCTGGTGGTGCTCCTATGCTTTCACTGCACAGAACAGCATCGAGGCAGGTGGCATCATTGCAGTGCATCAGAGTTGATCCATGGGTGATGCCAAGAGAAATGTGAGATCATCTTGTCATCATGCATGGTTTCTGCAGAGAGAAGCTGCAGCTGTCATAGGAATGAGTGAGGGGAAACAACCCTTGGGGGATGGGATATTCCCAGGTTTGTCATAGCAGCCCTTGTGAGGAGTTGTGTTTGTCAGAGCCAGAGACTGAGTGCCAACAACTGAAAAGAAAGAAGCGTTTGAAGGAAACAAAGACAAGAGACCAAAAAGAAGTGTGAGAAGGATGCCTGCAGACAATGAGAAGGGAACTGCTTACTTAAACTTTGCACATGTTCTCCAACGAGAGCCGTTCGTGCATGCCTGCAACACCCAGGAGAGGGGCTGCGTGTGCGCAACGATCCCCTTTTCCAAAACAGCTTCCATTAGGAATCACCTGGGAGAAGTGCTTGTCCTTCTCTGGCAGCAGTGCCAGAAGTATCTGAGGTAGGGTTCATTCAGGCGTTAGCAGTCGCTGCAGAGGCCAGCAGAACGTGGAGGCAGAAGGGAAGAGGCAGCGTGGAGCACCCGCCACTGAGTGCCTGGCAGCCTTTGGCATTGCCCTGGGCATGTCCCTGGCAGTGGGGACTGCACCCTGACGACCAGGGCACTGTGCTCAGCCTGTGGGATCCTAACTCCCAGGGAGCTCGTGAAGGCACGTGTCGTCTGGGGAGGAAGACAGAAGCATTTAAAATGGTTAATCCAGAGCAATGAATAAACATAACCTCACAGTTTTTCTTTTTTTTAGTGAAAGAATTTAATGAGTTGACTTTCTGGAACACATCAATGTCTCTTTTTTCCTCTTTCTGACCTGCCCTTTCTCCTTCCTTCTCCCCATCTGCTAAGAGAGAAAGAAAGAAAACATTACCAAAACATCCAAATGACTTCTTGGCTGTTTATGGTTTCTAATGACCACAGAGAAGAATGGCATTTTACTCCAGGTCCTGGGGAGGAGCTTCCCTTCAGATCCATCAGGCAGCTTTGCTCCTTTTCAACTGCTGTGAAACTTCCTGCACCTTACAATCCAAGGGCAGGAAAAAAACTGTTTTTATTACATGCTTTATTTAAGATACATGTCCAGGATGGGTAGTGTAGACTAGTAAGATTTGGTCCTGCAGAATAATATTTCTTTATGCTTTCTCTTTTATACAGAGATATTTTGCTGGAAATACAGAGCTTACTATTCAGTGATGTAAGATTAGCGTGTAAAGCCTCATCTCTCTGTAGGTGAAAGTCTGGACCCTGGCTGATTTACTTCAGTCCTGATTCCAGATAGATAAATTGAATTCTAGGCAGTTTCTACTCCAAATTATGCATAAAGCCAGTCTCTTCACTCTATCTCAGTACAGGAGGATCCCATGGGGTTCTCAGAGAGTGAAGATTTGCCTTCTACGTGCCCTACCTTTTATTGTAAGCTCCTGTCTTCCAGAGCACTGTAATTCAGTAGTTCCTTAGCTCCTTTGCTATAAAGAGCTTTTCACTTTACCATCAACAGCCATGGCTACAGCAAGAAATAACCACCAGCAGTGTCTCTTTCTGACTGCCTTGCTAGTGGCACTTCTACAGTTATGGTAGGAACTGAAGTGAGAGCTGGAGGCCACCAGCAGAACCCCAACTGTCAGATCTGTGTCATTAGAGGGGCATGCTGGATGGTGTCAGACACCACACTCAACCTGTCTCTGCATCATCACTACCTGTTTAAGGGGTAAATCAGTAGAATTCTTTTTATACCTAATGTTTCTATTTTTTCTGGTCTATTTAGCAGCATGGTTGTTTTGTTTGGTTTTTTTTTTTTCAGGTATCATACCGACTTTTTGAAGATATGGGGCTGTTTGAAACCTTTAAAATACCAGTGAGGGAATTTATGAACTACTTTCATGCCTTGGAATGTGGGTACCGAGAGATACCTTGTAAGTAAAAATTCCCAGCAGATAACAACCCTTAAAGTTTTGGGTATTTTCCATACACTTTGTTCTTGAAGCCCTTACTCGCTCATTATAACAGCTACTTTTTTTCTTCTATGTCATGACCAAGAGGATGGCTCTCTAGTCAGAGGCTGGTGCTAAAACACAGCCTCTCATCTTTTTTTCATTGCATTCACTGTTTCATGGTATTTCATAATAATTCATGGCAAATTCTGTGCAAGCCTGAAATCATATAAAGCTGCTGTAGGTACAAAGAATTGTTTCCTAATGATGCAAGTGTACCACAGTGCCCCAGCTGAAGTTTATTGAAACATTTCCCCCCTATAGGCAAGTTGGATTTTTACACAGTAGCATTGCTGTGCTACCAAAGGAGATGAGCATTCACTGAAAAAACTGCTTTCAGTCATCCCCAAAACATTTACTTATTCAAATCAAACCTTCCAAACCACTTCAACTGCAAAGGACTCTTTTTTTTTCCGGGAGGAGAGAGGGAGTTATTAATCACTTTAGCTAGCAGATAACCCCAGTGTTGAGGAACATAGGACAACCCATTTTCTCCCACCTCCCCAAAAAATGTCTGACACATTGGTTTATTAACTCATAGTCTTTCTCTTTAAGTATCAAATACCAATTGGAATAACTACAGTGGGAGGGTTTGAAGGAAAGTTTCCTCAAATTGCCTCCCAGCTTGGTGGTTTGGACTCTTTTCTGGGAAACTGAGAGAAACAATTTCAAATCTTTTCCAGTGTTTGAACCTGATCAGGAATTTGAAGCAGCAGAGTATAGCCTGAGGAGGTTATAGGTGGATGTTTGGGGTTGTTCAGACTGGAGAAGAGAAGGCTCCAGGGACGTCTTATTGTGGCCTTCCAGTATCTGAAGGGGAGCTACAAGAAAGCTGGGAAGGGACTTTTCACAAGGACTTGTAGTGAGAGGATGAGAGATAATGGCTTCAAAACAGAAGATTTAGATTAGATGTAAGGAAGATATTCTTCACTATGAGGGTGGTGAGACACTGGGACAGGTTGCCCAGGGAAGCTGTGAATGCCCCATCACTGCACATGTTCAAGAGCAGGTTGGATGGGGCTTTGAGCAACCTGGTCTGGTGGGAGGTGTCCCTGCAGGGGGGTTGGAACTGAATGATCTTTAAGGTCCCTTCCAACCCAAACTGTTCTATGATTCTATGTTGTCCCACAGTCTGCCTGTCATACTGGAGCCATTCCTCTTTGTTTACTCTTCATAGAGCATTTTTGTGAATCTAGCCTTTCATTTTCTTATTTTTGCTTAAGTGTGTTTCCTTTTAGTAAAGCACAATAGTTTGTCTATTACAAAATTAATTTACCTTCCAGTTTTTCATTTCTGTGAAGGGATAAAAAACAAAGCAACTTGTTTGGATTTAACCACTTCTTTTTTCTGGTTCCTGAAATGGAAAATGGGTTAGTCACACAAAACTAACAGTGACTATCCCAGCTGTATTAAGCCAGTACAATTTTCACAAGAGGCTAATTCAGCCTCTGCTCCTGAGAAGAGCATTAGGCCTCTACACAGGGCCATCCTCTAGATTTTGTCTGTGCTGATTAGCGTCTCAGGAGAAATGTTCTCAGTGCTTCAAGACAGACAGGGGGAGGAGGCTCCTTCCTTATCTTACTTTGTTCTTTCCAAAAATAACTGTTCCTATGCTGCTTACTGTTTTGCTGTTAAAAATTTCATCTCACAGTCACTAACACGTATTTAAAAGGAAGGTCACAGGGAAGACAAAGGAGACCAAGAGAGGAAAATAAGAGGTAAATAAAAGGGCCAAGTGGAGTGTCATCGTGCTCATGTATAGTGAGGAAGCAAAGTGATTGCAAATTATGAGTACAATTGAGCTTTGTGTGTTACACCTGCCCATCCTTGGTGGGCAGTATACTGCTGGTTTTGAAGCATAGCCTAGGTAGGCAGTTACCTCAAGCACTGGAGTGAGGGGTCAACAAGATGGTGAACTGCTTGTCCTTCCCTGGTTTAATCCCAGATGTAAGCTTTTGTCCTGGTGCAGCAACGTGTTACCCCTCTTTCAGCATCACAGCAGCATTTGCTTGTGTATGTTTAGGTGATGCTTTAGGTGGTGCTGAGCTAGTATGATTCTTTTTCAGCCAGCTGTGTTGGTTGTAGAAAGGTTTATCTGGCCTTGAAGGATTTGGTGGTATGAGCCTTGGGGGTCACTTTTATCTCATTTCTGCAGAGAGCTTTCAGTAAGGCAGACTAGAGGATCCAGAGTCAGAACTCTTACCTCTGCCAGAAAACTGCAAAAAGCACCTGATGTAACTATGCCATGTACATGTACCCTGAATTTGATTTTGCTGCAGTGCAGCTGCTAGCACAGCACCTAAAATTGCTCAAGCAGTCTAAGTCTTAGCTGCCTTATATTTAGGAGCTAAATGAAATCTGGCTACTGAAGTGGATAAGATTTTCCCACTGATTTCATCTGAATCCAGGGTTAACAGTGCATATTTACCCGATGGCATTTAACCAGCTAAAAGGCAATCACTGGAGTAGAGGATTGGAGCTGGTAGCTCAGGTCAGGCTCCTTGTTTAACAGTTTCTTTGCAATACATTGCAGATCCCACTGCTTCTCTGCTGTTTTCTGTTTCTTCACTGGTGTGAGGCATGCCATTGAAAGTGCTTCAGCTTCAGTTAAAGAAAAAATGGAGCATTTACAGAACACAGCTGTTTTTCATGCTTGTGATGATGTCTGGTTTGTCTCTGCTCGACTGCCTGCCAGGCGGTACCCACTAGATGGTGCTGGCTTCCCTCGGTGGGGAGTCCCCGTCCTGTTTAACAGCAGCGTCGTCTGCTTTGTGTCACAGATCACAACCGAATCCATGCGACTGATGTCCTACATGCCGTTTGGTACCTCACCACTCAGCCCATCCCAGGACTCCCCACGGTGGTTAATGATCACGGGTCAGCCAGCGATTCAGGTACATTTCAATGTGCAAGGATCTCTGTTGTGTTTCTGAAGGTTTTGTCATGAAATCTGCTCTGAGAAAGACAGCACTTAAAGATTGTATACAGGACCTGTTTATATTATAGAGACTTTCAAGTCCAGTAGCACTTTAGATATTGAAGATGCTAAGGTATGTTTGTGTAACTTCGAAGAGAATGGAATTGGGTCTCCAAAACCTGATCCTTTACATCTAATGATGTGTGAATGGAAGCCTCTGTGGTCACTCAGAACAACGGCCGTTTGGGACCCTTTGATTTTTACAAAACCTTTTTTCTTTTTTTTCTAGGAAAACTGTCTCAATAGTGCTTTTCAACACTGCTCCAGAAGCAGCGTAGACTTTTAAATCCTCACACCCTGTACTGCTTTGGCATTACAAAAGGGCTGGGGTAGGGCCGTGCACTTGCCACTGCTTGGGTGTTGTGAAGTGCTCTTTTGCCTTTCCTTCTGTCTCCAGAGAAAGAAACTTGTTACCATTTTGTAAGACCACTTGTCTGCTATTTTATGATTGTTCCTTACAGGAAGCTGTTCTTACTGCATCTTTCTATTCTCCAGGTTCAGCTGTAGCAACTGGAGATTTTTTTTGTATTTTGTGGGAGTTCTGAGAGAGTTACTGGAAAAGCAGGAGTTTGTTCTGCAGAAACTGCTTCCATTTCTGCTTTTTTTTGGTGGTGTTTGTGTGACACATACATATAATATGTGAAACTGTTGAGGATGTTTTGGTGGGGTGGGAAATATTTTTTATTCCTGGAAAATCTTATTAGGAAGAGTTGTTGGAGGCTTTGTAGGTAACGTGAAATGTGTGGAATGAAAGGGATTGAGTTTTGGAGCTTGTTGCTGTTTGTTATTTGAAAGATGTTGTTCAGTTGCATGTAAGATCCATTCAAGCAGATTAAATTAACAAAGCATCTCACTCAGTACATCTGCCTCTGACAGGCATGTTCAGGCTGCTTCAAAAAGAGACTGTTAAGAGGATTATCAGCAAAGGTCCAAAGTCTAGATCCTTGCATTGGAGAACATGCACCATAGTAGAATTAATAAATACTAGTCTGTTGCTTTAAGGACTGTTAGTGTCTCAGACTAATCTATATGGTGAAGCAAGGAGAGGAAGGAGTGGGCAGGCTGTTACCCACAGAGCTCCAGCATGGCCATGAATCCATGCCTTACTGCTAGTAACTTACACAGTTTCAGAACAGACTGTTGGATTGCCAGGAGATCCCCAGGTGAGATCCGCATTTGTTCCTTCCCAATTGTGTGCCTTATGGCACTGGATCACCTGCACAGTACCAGAAAGCAGTGAGGTTAGGCTCTGTTCTCTGCTATGTATTGTAAATTTGCTTCTCTTTCTGCATGTTGCTTCTATCTGTCTCAGTAAGTCACTGAAAAAGTGGTATGGATTTTTCTTTTTGTAATTTATTTCTGCTCAGATTCTGACAGTGGAATCACTCATGGCCATATGGGTTATGTATTTTCGAAGACATACACTCCTACAGATGACAGCTATGGATGCCTAGCTGGCAACATCCCTGCTCTTGAGTTGATGGCTCTTTATGTAGCTGCAGCCATGCATGATTATGATCATCCAGGAAGGACCAATGCCTTTTTGGTAGCAACAAGCGCTCCTCAGGTAAATAAATCTCAAACAGCATTGTTGTTAAGTTTGAAAGAACCTTGGAAACAGCTTCTCCTTGCCACTGGTGTCTGTGGCTTCCATTAAGCACGTCTAGTGAATATTTTGAAAGAGCTTATCAAAGTGACAGAAATAATCACTTCATTTGGTGATTACAGGAAAGAGTCTTCTTTTACACCCTCACCACACTCAGTTGGTAGAGCTATTAAGACAGGTACTGATCAAGTGTCTCGGTGAAGGAGAATCTAATGCTTTGCTGGCTGATAAAGAATCTGTAACTGTGAAATAAGGGAAGGATTATTCTATCCAGTGAGGCACAGAAAGATTAAAATAAAATTAATACAACATCTAAATAGTTGACAGTTAGTTTGTGCATGATCATAACATATTTTCAGTTGCTTCTATAGAACATGAGCAGCTGCAGGCTTTTGTGAATGTGTTTTTACAGTATGCATCTACTGGGGTGGGAGTTTGTGTAGAAAATATTCTCAGTTTTATCAATGAAGAATTGAGGCTTACCCAAGGTTACACAGACATTGCTGCCAATCCTGGGAGCTGAATTCAGCAATTCTGAGTCACTGTTTATTGGCTTAATTATGAGTTCATCTTACTTTACATAGCTGACCTGCCTGACTTCAGCATACTGTGTTGAAAAATATCTATGGACGAGGAAAGAAAACAAGATAGCTTAATAGTGAGGTGTCAGGTAGGCACCCAGAAATGCTAGATTTACTCCCCAACTTGGATCCAGACTTCCTCTCTCACCAAGAGCAAGTCACCTAAACTTATCTGTATCAGTCTCTGTCTATAAATTGATAGTAAGAATTTTCATCCTTGCAACATCTTTCCATGATCGAGAACTTTGATACTCTGGCCAGGTAGATATATGTATAGAAGATGTATGCTATCCTTAGATCTGTTTTTAAGAAATTAGGGCTATAGCTTTGTGGTTGTGAAAATCAACAACGGAAGTTAGGTGGGTAGCCTTAATGTATTGTCCCTAGTTTGAAAACAATAGTGGGGAAAATTCAAATTCTTCTTGTCACCTTTTGGGGGTTTGATTTTGTTTTGTTGTTTGATTAATTTGATTTTTTAAGATTTATTACCTGCAATTTTCAGAACTTGTATTTGGCATCTATTTATTTTTATTCTTTTTCACAACAAGCAGTATCAGCTTCCAATAATGCTAAAATGCTGCTGTACTAAAAATCTGACACTGGAGTTGGGCCTGAGTAGCAGGATGTATCTGTCTCAATTGCTTACTCTGCAGTTAAGCAATATTTGCTGTGAAGGTTATTGGCTGTGAAGGTTATATTGGCAGGTTTCTTCAGCAACCTGTTCACTGGAGTGAAGAATAGATTCTATACTTTAGGATAGGATTGTATTTTTCCGTCTCTAGATGACAGCAAAGTGTAATTGGAAGTGGAAGGCCCATGGAACGTATATGGATGTATTTGTGTAAAAAGTTAAAAAACTTTTATCTGTTTTAAATAGAAGTCTATTTCTAGAGCTTTCCAAACCTGTTCTTTCTGTAAACCAAATCATCAAAAGACTGAAAGCTGCTGAAGTGGAGAGATTTCCTGGACAGTTCATGTTTTAGGAAGTCCATTTTATAGATGTTTCTTTAGTTTCTGAATGGAATCGCCATCAGTATGAGAGTTACACATCTTGTTTTGATAAAGATTTAACCAATTTGGGATTTTAGCACTGAGAAATCTGTCAGGCTTGTGTGCGTGTTGTCAAGTTACAAACTGGAATTTCCCTTGTTTCTGTGCTTGGAATCAGTCCAATATGGACAGAATTGCCAGGCACAAGTAGCAAAGAAAAATCCCTCTTAGGTGAGGTTAGTTCTGAGAAATGGGGAAGCACACACCTATATTATAGTAGTCATTAATCTGTGGCCTGAAACAGAATAATCTATTGCCATATGATCCATTTCAGTCAGGAAATGAAGACCCTTGAGCATGAGAGAGACAGATTTTTCAAATCAATCTTATAAGCCTTAACCGTCACCACAATTTGGATATCTGCTATTAGTCCTGCCAAAATCACATCTTCAAACCTCTAATTCTTTTACAAAAAAACCACAAATCATCCAAAACTGAACCTCCCCCATGCATCATCCCCATGTCATTCCCATTTCTGCATTGCAGTGGGTTGTTTTGCTAAGCTGTTTCTCAGCTGCCTGCGTTGCTTTCACAGGCAGTGCTCTACAACGACCGCTCCGTTCTGGAGAACCACCATGCTGCTGCTGCATGGAACCTCTTCATGTCAAGGCCAGAGTACAACTTCCTGGTCAACCTGGACCACGTGGAATTCAAACATTTCCGCTTCCTTGTCATCGAGGCAATTTTAGCTACTGACCTGAAGAAACACTTTGATTTTGTTGCCAAATTCAATGCCAAGGTAAGAAGATTGGCTCGAGTTTCTGGTGGATGGTCAGAAAAGATTATGGGGCTTGGTAGAACCACAGTAAAAAGGATAGAAAGTCTGCTGGTTTGCTCTTTCTTCTGAATGGCCTTTTGGCTGCTGTAAAACATTCTGTTCAATAGTAATCTGGTGTTTTTATTATTTTTTTTCTTATTTAAATTTAGTGGCATAACTTCATTTCTTATATATCTTTCTTTTTTTCAGAAGGTGATTTAAGGCTAAGGATATTATGTACTATTTTAATGTAAATCCCAATTACATCCTACTTTTCAGCATTGTTTTGTTGTTTACTGGCACTTTAGACCTATTAGCAAAGCACTTGGAAAAAAATCAAAGGTGTTACCAAGTTTCCATAATGGCTAAATAATTAATGTGAATTTTTATTGGTTTAATTGTACTGTTATTTTATCAAAACACAGAAATCACAACTTCAAAATTCTAATTTGAAATACAATGAAAGCATTATCTTTCTTTCCCACATTGTTTCAAATGGTTAAAACCCAGAGAAAGGTCACTGAAGATCTTTCCTGCACACTCTGAGTATAAAATTGCAACCCTGGAAAACCATACTTAAAAATTATTGTACAGTTTCAACCTAACTTATCGAAAATCACCACTTATAAAGTTACTTTCATGAAGTCCATCATCCCTCAAAGCTGTTGGCATGTTACCTAAATGATGCCAGCCTTTGGAGCTGGTACTGCTTTCCTGTTCCTTGTGAGAAACACACCAAGCACAACATGTTTCTTATCCAGGACTAGGACCTCCCAGCTGTTTTGTAGCCACAGATAAAATGTTTTCCTCTAGTATTGCCTAGGATGGACCTGTATCCCAAATCCTCCAGGTGTATGAGTAGTTTTGTTTTCTGTTTCACTGAAACATCTCTCTCTTTGTTAGGCTTTAAGAAGCTCTAAAGAAAGGCCTTAAATTGTGGTCCAGGGTCAAAAGCTCTAAAGAAAGGCCTTAAATTGTGGTCCAGGGTCAACAGAGAACTGATCTGTAGATCTGTAAAATTCTGAATTCTTTCTGCACCCCTGCTAGTCATGTCCCAAAATCTCCAGTAATACACAGGGGTTTCTTTAGATCTTCATTTTAAACTCTGAGATAATTTTCACCAGCCTAATTTCCTCATAAAGTATTGAACAGAATTGGCAGATTCCAACTTATCAGGGCTACAATGACAATAAAGCATGGGGAATTTAGCCTGTCTGAATACTTCCTTTAAATTTGACAGTTTGGACCAAAATCTTCACTTCTGTGAACAGAAGGGTAAAAAACAGACAGGCTAAACCAGTCATTACTGTGATTTTGTCACCAAGTTTAACAGTCTTAACCATGGAAGAGGACAAGCTTGATCAAAGTACTAGGCATAAATTGTGGATATTGAAAACTAAATTTGTCTTAAATCTACCAGGCTGGACAACAGTAGGTGTAACCAAGCAAGGTAACCCCAGACACTGGAGATAAATAGAAACAGCCTGATGTATCACATCCTGCCAACTTGCTGCAGATTTGTAAGGATGTCTACTAACCTGCTTCTCTCTACTTATTGCTTGAATAGTCAAATGGTCATGCATGGACTAAAAAGCAGAGGAAAAGGTGAACATATCAACCAGTGCTTGTGGCTGAGCCTGACTTTTCCAGAGGGTTGGACTGGATGACCTTTGGTGGTCCCTTCCAGCCCAGACATTCTATGATTCTGTGATTCTATGATAGCAAAACAACTTTCTATCTATTTTCAACTATTACAAGCTTGACAGTTAAAGCTCTGTTTCAAGGACGGATTTGAATTTTGAAAATTAAGTGGACAGTAGAAGACAGCCCCCCAAACTAAAAGATATTGTAGGAGAAAAGGCTGAGGCCTGGAGATGTAAAAGGACAAAATCCTCAATGTTTTCTCACACTCAGTTTTGAGGACTTAGTAGTGTTGGCTTGATGGTTGGACTTTAAGCTCTCCTGCTTAAACTTCTGATTGTAATATATTGTAAGATTACAGGGCAGAACTTCTTCTGTGGATACATCCTTTTACCCAGGATTTTTCGCATGGTTTTCCTTTTTCTGGCCACTAGGTGAATGATGATGTTGGAATTGACTGGACTAATGAGAACGACCGCTTGCTGGTTTGCCAAATGTGCATCAAACTGGCTGACATAAATGGGCCTGCAAAATGCAAAGATTTACATCTGCAGTGGACAGAAGGCATTGTCAATGAGTTTTATGAACAGGTAAATAAATGCACGTCCAAAGTGGTATCTGCTGGTTGCACGTCTTGTGTTAAACAGTCCTGCAACATGCTCGCAGTGATGATGGGTGAAAATCACAGAAAAAGAGGGGTGAAGGAGGTGGCTGGAGTGACACTAGTCCATCCTTTTGCTGAATCAGTGAAGGTCCATTTGTCACTGAAGTTTCTAATATGTCCACAAAGACCGCTGTTGATGGGGTTTCTACAGACCTAAGTGTTCCAGTCTGGCACTATCCTTACAGTGGGCATGGTGAGCAAGTGTTCCTTTCTCCTTTTTTTCTGTTGACAGTCCTCATGTCTGTCTTTCAGTCATCTTCAGTGCAGACTGCCTTTCTGTCCTTCCTTCTACGCCTTTTCAAGGCATCAGCTGGTTCTCATTGCTCACCTCTGCAGTTACTTCAGGTGACTCACACTTATTGACATGTGGTCTTCAGAACCAGACCAAACATCCTTGTTGAGATGATCTAAACAGAGCAGAAGAATTATTTTAGCTTGCCAGTGGGCCAGGTCTCTGTCCACACACACAGAACCTTTATGTGCTGAGCGTGATGGTAACACTGATTTCCAGTTTATCACAGACTAACCACAGCTGCTCCCTACACATTGATCCTGACTCAGATTTCATTTTCTAAGACAACCCTTTCAGCTTTCAGAAGGTTTGTCAGTACAACTGCACTAATTATGCAAGACTCAGCTGATGGTAGCACTAGGGAGGACAGCCACAGACTAATTTACAAAGACCTGGGAGTACAGCCAGGCACTGGTCCTCTCTTGCCAGGTGTAAGAGAGCCCTCAGTTGAACCTTTTCTCATTATAACCTATTTAGTCCTGCCGAGTACAAGGGACAGGGCTGTTTCCACACAATTCTTCTGTTTCCTGAGTGGGAACATATTTTGAATGTGCTGGTTAATCTAAACTCCACATCCTGGCTTCTCAAGAGTAAGCAAGCAGGCTAAATCACTGAACTTCTTGGGGAGGCTGTGCAGTAACTTGAAGTCACAGACTAATGCCTTTTAAGGCCTTTTCATCTTCCCTTAAATTTACTGTACTTACACTTTGGAAAAAAACAGGATTTTCTGCTGCTGCTGCTTTCTGGAATATGTAAAGACCTGGGAAAAGGACAAAATGCAGGTATTGACCTGAAGCTCCTTCATGTATTTCAGGTCTGCTGAGAAGAAAAAAAGAACAATGACCCTTACATATATTACATATATAGTTGGCTCCATTTTTCTTTTCGTTTTTTCTTAAAGAAAGAGACCAAGTCCTGTAACAACAGCGATCAACCTTCATTTCCCAATTTGCTTTCAGGAGACGCTTTTCTTCATATTTGTCTGTTTTCATTACAACTCCCCCAAAAAGTTGTTCTTCACTTAATTCTGGTAATGAGACAAAACCTGTTAATCAGATATATGTTATGATTCTCTTTTGATCCAACAAAACTTATGCCAGAGGGCAGTAACTGCTCTGATATGTTAATATTGTCGAAGTGTTGGACAGCAAGCTCTGAATCAAGCTTGGGGGGAACACACATGGTAGGATATGGAGTTACCTGTTCCCTAGTAGGAGTCTGAGTTATCTTCTACCAGCCAGAAAGGTGTGCTACTGATGTTTTCAAGCTCTGGGAAGCTATTCCAAAAGATTGTTGCAGGTTATATTATTTATAATCTATAATCCTGTAATTAAAAAAAAAAAGTTTGAGATCTAGCTTCTCTGCAAAATATCATTCAGAATAACACACACATTATCTTTGTTAATGGCATTCCTTTTTGCATGGGTATTATGGGCAAATGTATTTGAACTCCTGGCTTGCAAATTCCAAGAGGTCAGTTAGTCACTCAGATCTTACAGGGTTTGGGGTTTGGTTTTGCTTTAATAGAAGATGTGTATTCACTGTATTGACAAATCAGTATGTCCCAGTAGGTTTCCTGGTTTGTTTTTTTTTTTTGCATGGGATAGAAAACAGAGAATGTTCCAAAGAAAGTTACTTCTGGCATTAAGGAGGACAAGCTAGATTCTCAATTATTTAACCTATGTTAAAATCTGATTTTCTTGAATATAATGTGCTATGAGAGGTGTATCAAACCATCTTCACCATGCTTTTGATCCTCAGATTTTTTTCTGAAAAGGGAAAAGTGTTCATTTGCTCATTTCCAAAAAAGGAGAATTTTATGGGAAGATTGAATTTCCCTAGAATTGTTAGCAAAAAGCATGCATAGCATAGCATACATATTCAACCTATGCTGTGAAAATAAGGAAATATCGGGTTTGAATTTCATTTAATAAACACCAATTAATTTGGAACGTTTAACTCCCATATAAATAAACTCCTTATTAAAAACGAGTTCCATAGAAACATCCAAAATCCTGTGTCATATTGTCAGGGTATGTTTCCTTCCCTCCAGATGCTCAGCATACTTATTTGAAGACAGGTTAGACATATTAAAAAGAATCAAAAAACGCACTGCAAGATGTTACACATAATAAATCATGTTTTAACAGAACCTGAAAAAAGAACTTGTAAACATTTCAATGGCCAGCTCTCTTCCCACTGCTGACAGCTCACAACCATGGAATCTCTGATGTGATACTGTGGAGAAGAGTGAGCTGCCACCTCTCAAACCTCTCACCTGCTATTTCAAGAATGGATGGTGTATTTCAGAGTTTTGTTAATACTAATATTTTGCATTTAATGATTGAATAGGCATGGGGTAGGTTATTACAACAGTACCAAAACAAAACACAAGGAAATGAGACATTTGTTATACACGCTGCAAAATTTAAGTCTAATTCTTTGGCCTTCCCAGATAACAACAGGGTGTTGACCAGATACATTGTCCATGACTTTTGGAAAGTGTAGGTTACAAGGAGATAAATTCAGGTAACCTGTAACATAATGGAAACTGAAAATGTCTCTCCAAATTCTAATTTACATTCTCAAATATAGATCTCAGTATTGCATGAAAACATTAATTTGTATATCAGGCTTGATGAGACGGATTTGATTTTTCCCTTGGAGAGGCAGCATCCTGTCTTGATATGTCTGCTCAGCTGAAAACTCATTGATTTCACCAGAAGCTTTCTTGTGACAGGAATGGGTGAGTTCTTGCAGACCTGGTTTTGCAAGAAAGTTTTACCTTCCTTTATATCATGAGAGGAGGGAGAAAAAAGTCACCTTATACCTCCCCTCTACTCTCTCTCCCCAAGAAGAGCTAGCAGTAATCTTTATGGAAAAGCTTTTCTGCTTCTGAGTAGCCCCTGCTGAAGTTCAATCTTGCTCCCTGCAGACAGCTGGCTGCCTACAAGGTTGTTGTAGGGTAACAATCACAAAATCAGAAGGGATTTTTTTTAAAATAATGTGACAAAAGAAAGAACAGTAATTTTCAGAGTTTCACACTCGGAGTGTTAAGTACAGGACACGGGTGGTGGACATCATCTTGCACAGTTATCAGCTAACTTCCTTGTTAAACTCATGCTAGCAGTAGTGGCTTCTCTTACAGGTAAAGAGCTGTAACTTCAGTTAACCATTGGACACAGTGGCACTGGAGTAATGTCATGCTACCATACTATGGAAGTGGCATTAGAGTCAGATTATTTTTCTTTCATCGTTTTTAGTTGGTTTGATGTGCGTTAATTCTTTTTGTGACATGGTTTTGTTACATTTACTTCAGAGAAATTACCACTATTTTTCATCTCCAGGGTGATGAAGAGGCCAGCCTGGGCTTGCCAATCAGTCCCTTCATGGATCGCTCTGCTCCTCAGCTGGCACACCTCCAGGAATCTTTCATCACTCACATTGTGGGACCACTATGTAACTCCTATGACTCAGCAGGGCTGATGCCAGGAAAATGGATAGAAGATAGTGATGAATCAGGAGACACTGATGAGCACGAAGAGGAAGAAACAGCAGAAATGGAAAGTTGTGAAAACGCAGAATCCAGTAAGTTGTTCGCACGTATTTTTCAATAGAGCAAGTTCTGTATTGTGAGCAAAACCCAAGCAGCCATACTGCAAAAGCATAGAGATCGTGAGCTGGTCAGGTTCAGCATGGGCCTTCTCAGAGTTAGAAGTCTTCTTAGTGATTCAGTGCTGTCTTTGGTGAACCTGGTACGTAACCAGTTACGTTGGTAATGGAGACACTCCACGGTTTCAGGACTGATATGCATTGATCTTCATATCTACCACTCATTCCTATCTTCAGCTGAGGTTTCTGGTGGTGGATCACTTATCTGTGCTTAAGAGCTTTATTAATTGAAGGAGGATTTAAGATGTTGGTTCAGTAAAAGAGTTTTTGGCAATGGAAGTATTTTAATGCAACTCTCTTCAAAGTAATGTGTGGAGAAGAGTAGAGACAGGACCGTCACTGAGCATTGCTGTGTTGTGTGCTGGGAGCTGCATCACTTGGCCCTTCTGGCTGATCAGTGTCACAGTTTAGGGTCAGGGCTGCCCCCAGACCTGTGACAGATGGTCTGTTAACTTTCCCCCTCCCCCCCAAAAGGGAATAAGGGAGAGATGTATTGATTAGAAAAGAAAAGTAAAACAACTTTAATGAAAACAATACTACTGCTACTGCTAATAATAGTCATAGTAAAATGGAATATATATATAAATATATACAAAACCAGTATGGAACCCAACTCCCCCCCGAAGGCAATATGTCACCCCTGATGCTGGGGAGCAGGCCCTGGGGAAAAGTCCCAGGCTGGACTCAGCCACAGATGGCAACTGGGTCCAGGAGCTGGATTCTGGAACTCGGGTCAGGAACACACGGGATCAAAGGCAGAGTGGATAAAATCCTCTCGGATGCTGGCCATTGAAGGAGCAACAAAGGGAGGAAAAGGGTGGGAGGTGGAAGGGCCTGACCCTCATGATTTCAGCTTTTATACTGAATATGGTGGATATGGGATGGAATACCCCATTGGTGAATTTTAGTGTCACTTATCCTGCCTGCTCCTCCCTGCAGGTGCAGCTTTGCTTTCTGTACCCCTCCATGGGGTACACAAGCTTTACCAGTGACCTTGGTCTGCACACCAAGTCTTGGTGGTAACTCTAAACATGGAGTTTGTTATCACTGCTAGAAGCAGACAGTCTGTGAAAATATGCTTCTAACTTCACAAAGTGCAGTCAATAAGAAAAGCTTTAGCTGAAAAGTAAAATCATTGAACAGAATTAGCTCTACTCTACCCCAAACCGGTACAATCAGTAACTAAAGCTGATAGTCTCCTGCCTCTCCTCCAGAAGGGCAACGGTGCCAACGTTTGTCAGGCTGAGAGGAAAACTTTGCATCTTGAAAGGACGTCTCAGGAACTCATTGGAAGTGATTTTTGAGGGAAAAGGCTCCAACTGTAGACCTGTTTCTTGTATCGGTTTAATCCTGCATGCGTTACCTTTTTGTTTCTTTCATATTCCTCCTCCCTCTGAATTCCTGCTTCTATTCTTTTATTTCCTTCCTCTGGGTCATCTTTCTCTCCTTCTCCTATATCTAATCCTTCTAGAAAGCACCAGCCTAAAGTGCACTAGTGAAATACTGAGGTATAGCTTTTTCTCTCAACAGCCTCACTTTTTCTGTTCTTCCCACACAGTTCCATGCCCTACTGAGTATTGTCCCTGTTTTCTGTTGGGGAACCTCATTAGCTGAAAGATTTGATGATTGCAATAAGTCACGTGAGGAAATGGAGCTAAAATCTGTGTCTCCTGATGTGCAGAACTGACCTTTTATCACTAGTAAGATCCTGGGGTATACAATTTGCATTTAAGAAATCATTGCTGTTGTTCACACACACACACACGTTTTAAGTTTAGGAGATTCACATGCACAAAAAAATGTTGTTATGAACAGCAAACATTAAAAAAATATAGGACACAGGGTTTTATTATAGCACCTTATGATCTGTCAGCTCGGTAGTAGCAGGCAGAGGCACATGTTTCTGTGGCAGATTGGCATTTATGGAATTGCCTACCAGGTGAGAAGCATATGCAATTGGTAACCAACGTAGATCCCAAGGACTGAAACTGGTATTGCTGAAGTAGAAAGAAATATGAAGGATGCTCTCATTTATCCATTGGAGTAAAAACCTTAATTTGAAATCCTTCTTTTTCTTTCACCGCGTTTCTCACTTCACTTATCTTCTGTATCACTGTTAGTCAAGTCCAACAATGCTGCTTTCAGGTTAAAAGCTCAGACCATTATTAACCCTTGTCACATTGGAAACAGAACATTTTTTAGTTGTCTTCTCTCTTCTTTTTCACATTCTAGTCCATGACAGTACTTTACTGTTCAACTTGGTGCTTTCAGGCTTTTTATCTTTTTTAAAACCTTAAAAATAAATGTATTGAATATACTGAAATACCCAAACAAATTCTTCCTACCTCCTCCTTACCAAGTATGGGATGCTCATCTTATTGATCATACCAATGTGTTACAAACTGTTTTCTTCCAATTCCCTAAATTCTCTGAGACTGTGTGGATCTTCATCAGGAATCTACTGCACCTCTAGTGTCAATATAAGGGCCTTACAGGTAATTAGAAATTGATACCTGTGATCAGTTTGGGATGCTCTAAACTTTCTCAGTGAAACAAAATAGAAGGTTGAGATGTCAGGTGCATAGATGGAGAGTTGTGTGGATGTTGGTGAAGATCTTTTTCTTGATGGAAATGCCTTTTAGGCAGGTGGACATACAATTATGGCAGAAAACACTCCATCTAGGTCCTGATCATTTACTAAAGCAGTCGAGATAAATTTTAGAGTTATAAAACCTTAAGGTAGCTTAGAATCATTTTTGTTATGTTACAGGAGCGTGTAATTCCCCCTGAGTTCTGATAGAAGAATAAGAATTAAAGAGGCTCAGTCATTAGTGTTTCAAACAAATTTTAGCACCACAGCAAGTGCTCGCACAGCAAGTGTCTGCAGAGAGCAGCAAGATGCAGGGTCACCCAGGAAACCCAGGAGAGAATGTCCTGCTACGGCATTGGCAGGTTAGGGTCTTCTTATTAGTGCTAAACCTGAAGGTTTCCTACAGGGAACCAAGGGCTTTCTAATGAAGGATTGAGTTGGATTTGGTCTGTGCTCAGTGAAAAGCTCTTTGTTTCTACTTCAAAAGCTTCAAGGGCTAAGTGTTTTGGATCCTGACACAGGCATACTTTAGACAACCTGCAAATACTAATCCACGTAAATTTATTTGGTACAAAACATTCCTCTACGTCACCTTCTTTAAACAAGAAATCAGCAGCTGTCTTTGGAGGGTTTATTATTTCAGTTCTGTGACTGCCGTTGCCACTGTTAATGACCAGGGAAAAATTTCAAGTCTCGTGCTCTGAATGAGTTAAATGTTTGTATTGGACAGATTGTCTTGACAAAGAAAAAAAAGCACACTTCAGACAGCAAAACACTTGTAGTGCAGCTGTGTCAGGAGCCATGAGAACTACCAGTGGTAAAAGCATTTTGCAGGTTAGCAGCAGGAACTGGTGCTTCAAAACCAAAGACAAGCGAGTTCCCTGGCAGCATTTGGCTGCGTGGTGGCCACGTCAGTGGTTACCCTCCGTTGCCAAAGCAACATTGCATGAGGGCCTCACGGTCATTGCCACTGCAAAGGTGGAGTGGTAAACCTCTGACTTTGAAAAGGAACGTAGGAATGGGTTCCCTCTTTTGAGTACTAATGCTTTTGTTCTTTTATTATCCTTCAACAGCTCAGATCAGAGGTAGAATGTGAAAGAAAACAAAATCAGGATCTTTATTTTCAGTTAGCTATCAGCAGGGATCCATTGAAGAAGGGCACAGAATTTAATGTGTGTGCTAAGGATTAGGTTGATCAGAGTCTTTAAGTACTTGATATAAATATGAGCAGAAACAGCTCAGCAACATGTTTTCTGCATAATCATTCAAGCACTAGATGTCTCTGTGAGCTGCATAGTCAGGGACAGTATGTGGCATATGACAGGATGAAGCTGGGGCTCAAGCTGTGCAGGAAACCAGTCTGCTTTCCCAGAGGTCTGGAGAGGCATAGCTTTCTGAATTTTAGGACTGTTTAAGTTTGTGGTTTTAAAACTCTGGTAGTGTGGTTCCTGTATTTCATAGTACACCCTGTCTGCTTCCTACACCTTCAGTCCCTTTTCCTCCTTCTCTCACAGAAACCAGTACATTAACGTCACACGGTGTTTTACAGGAAAGAAGAAGTTCAAGAGAAGGAAAATCTACTGTCAGATCACTCAGCACCTGCTCCAGAACCATAAAATGTGGAAGCAAGTAATCGAGGACGAGGAGAGGTTAGCTGGGACAGAGAAGCAGGGTGTGGAGCAGTCCACGCTGCACCAGTCTTCAGAACAAATCCAAGCCATCAGGGAAGAGGAGGAGGAGAAAGGGAAGCCGAAGAGGGATGAAGAGGAGAACACAACTGTAGAACCAAACCAATGACAATATTTACAGCAGTATTTTAAGACAGATTGACTCGTGCACAGACTCTTTCTCAAGCCAGCACAGCATTTAGACACAACACTGTAGAAGTACGGGATAATGCGCCTACAGCTGTTTAATTTGTTTCTCTTTCCTTTTTATGGTGAGGTACATTGTTTAAACTCCTATGCTCAAGGAAGCTTTCACACTGCGACACCGGCTTTTCCAGACTTTCTTTAAAGAGATTTGGGGGTGGGTGGAATTATATAAATATATATATAGCCAGGGTTATTGGCTGCGCACTTCAGCAAAATACATTTAATGATATATTACGGTCACTGTGATATTTACAGATGAAAGTTATCTAAGGAAATGCTGCTTCTGAAGCACATTTGCAGTTAACAGTAAGGTACCTGTTAAGTAGCTTTTGCTCTTAATGCTGAGGGATAAAAGTTCCAAAGCTTTATATGGATGCTGATGGATCCTGCCAGCATACATGTGTGCATGGGGGAGTGCTTGTGAGCATGAGTGAGTGTGATGTGACATAGCACAGTTTGGATTCTTTACACCAGCTGTAGCACATGTCCCAATACACAATAACAAGCAGAAGGCCTGGACTTTAGAGATTTTTGTGCTCACAAGGGAGCTGGAGACCTCTTTGAGGAGCTTTGTGTTCCCCATATTCCTCCAAGTCCCCGTTTGCACTCTGGCTGCAGGCAGCAGCATTTCAGCAGGGGCCATGGTGGCCAGGTATGGTCACCTGGCCCCATCTGGCTGTGTGGGCTCTTCCTCCTCCTCCTCCTCCACATTTCCCAGACTGCTGACAAAAGGCATGGGGTAGGAGATTGATTTTCCAGAGGGGGTTATGAGGGACTGTGCAGCAAGCTGGTCTGTTCCCCTTGAGAGGACTCAGCCTTCTGTGTGCTTCTGTGTGAGCGGCTGCGTGGGGCAGTGGGTGTGCTTGGGCAGGCGAGCAGATGTCTGCCCACACTGGGGAGCCAGGGGCACACTGTCATCTCCCTGCCCTCACCCTGTGCCTCTGCACACCAGCAGCCAGCTGTGCCACTTAAGAACAAAGCTAAACCATGCCTCTAGAGAGCAAAAGAAAGGGAGCATGGGGGCCATGCCCTTTCCCAGAATAAAAGGCAAGCGATGCATTGGGAGCAGACTGGGGGCAGGTGCCAGTCCTGTGCCAGCCAGACACTTGTATGTCTCAGCAACCACTCACATGAGCTTCAGAGAATTTGGGGTTTCAGCATGAGGTGCTGGATGGGAGCAGTTTGTTGCTGGATTCTGCTTAGAAGCAGCACGTTTTATCCCACCGATATACTTTTTTCCTATTTCTTTTTTTTCTTAAGAGAAAGAGAAAGAAAAAGATCAGACCTGTAAGAAGAGCAGATTTTCTTTTCTGTTTGTTTTCTCTGTTGTTTATGCTGTGAGCCAAATGTCTATTTAAAAGGTTGGATATTCACTTTCAATATTTTATTTCACGATATTATATTTGTCAATGATTAGCTATCTAGATGTAAATATGGAAAAATTTTTATGGGTTTCTGTAGATAATGATATCTTTAAAAAAAAAAAAAGAAAAAGAAAAAAGGGAAAAGGTTTTTTGTAAAGCTAATTTTTTAAAAAATAAATACAAAAACATTTTTATACAGTGTAGCCGTTTCCAAACCCAACAAATAGTCTTGAGTAGTTTGTATAGACCCTTCTGGGAAGCCAGTGGTCTTCTGGATCAAGGCTTTAAAATATTAATGCTCTTTGGGACTGGCAGCACCAACCAGTACTACACAATTTAGAGTTTTGTTCCCACAAAAAGAATTTATATATATAAAGTTCAGTATCTCTCAGTAATGATTTGACTACGTATGCTTTTTTATATGTTGATCCTTCAGCCCTTGGCCAAGAAGAGGACTGCTTGTGTGAGCAAGAATGCTTGTGAAAGGAATAGTTTGTAGGAGAAGTCCTCTCTTCATTAAATCTTTGACATCACTTTTTGCTATTGTTACACATTCACCACATTTCATGATCCTATTGATACCTTCCCAAAAATTTTGAAAACTCTGTCAAAGCCAATCAGTATGTACGGTATGACTTCACAGGTTTTTTTGCTTTGCATTTCCATTACAGGGAGATTTTGCTGGAAAACAGGAGTTTGGTTTCTTAAGGGTTTTTATTTACCTGATATTGTCCCATCCTACTACTACCAATAGAGAAGGTATTCACCTTTTCACAGAGTGACTTTAGAGCATGGCTCTGCATACTCTTACCAGCAGAAATATTGACTAAGTGTTTTTCAGTTAAATCAGAGAAGCAAAGATCCAAATTGCACTATTGTTTTAATGGGAAAGGATATAGCAGAATTCATTAAAAAGAAAAAAAATTGTTTCAAAGATCTCAGCAAGTCTCCACCAATTACAGCTTGTGCTGTTTTCACACCTCTTCATGTTTTGATGGATCATTTCATTTGGGGTTTCCTTGTACAAGTGATATGCATACCTTGTCATATGAAAGAATTTAATATGCCTCATTCTATCCTTTAAAAATTAAACTTACAGAGATGCTTTAAAATGTCACATCTTCAAGCACTTTTTTCTCCATTTTCAGTGCATGATCACTAGGACTGGATTTTTCTATATTGTTTTTTATACTGCCTTTGCTAGAAGAAGAGAAAAGAAGTTACTGCATAAAGTGTTAATTAATGGGTGCCCAACTGGTAAAATTATGAAGAGGCATTCAAAAATGAGGTGAAATCCTGAAAGTGGAGTTCTGCATATTCCTCTAAGCAGGCACACAAAGGATTGAACTAAGAAAAATTATCCTAAAAATGTACTGAAGTGGAATTTCTCTATTTTTCCTAGTCATCATTTTTGGTGGCTATTGGGTAAAATCAGTGTCAGCTTCTAATTTGTGAAGATTTCTCTTTCTATTGCAAATGCAGCAGTCAGGAATTGTTAGTGCTTTGCTGCAGAAGCCCGTTTGTGGGCACAGTTTGATTAGCTCGGGTCTCTCACAGTGAAAGGATTGCTGATAAGATTAAAATCAGAATGTTTGTTGACTTTATCCAAACTGGAAGAATACCAGTGAAGAAGCTAGAATAGCTAGGAGTGGTTAAGTTGGTAAGAGGTGACTTTTTTGCACTCCAAATAGTTACTAATAGAATCCAGTTTCTGCAGATGTCCACTCATGAATCCAATTGTCAGTCTTTGCAGCACATTTCTGGCAGGTAACGACCAGGAAATTTCCCAGCATGGCTTAAATATAGCACAAAATAAAATACCAGAGAGATTTTCTGTGAATCGCATTTTTTTGCTTTGGGGCTTTTTAGTAGGTAAAGAAACAGGTCATTTTTCAGGGAGCTTTATAATAGTTTCTAGTCCAAAGAAGGCAAAGCTCTTGACCTGCAGTTGCAACAACCTTTTGAAGGCTACACCTGGATAGTTTTCTGCTTCGTGCAGTCCTTTGGTGTTGTAAACTCCAAATAAACCACAGCCTGTATGATACTCTTTGGGGACAATAATAAAAACAGAAAAGAAAAATAATTGTATTCTATTGTCAAAGTGCTCAGATTTCAGATGGGATGTTTACAGTCTTGATACAGGTCCCTGGTTTGTACACAAGTATGCAAAGGGGGTTTGGTACTGGGGAAAGCAAGCCCCATTTAAACAGTGTTCTGCAGTAAGAAAAAAATTATGTGTTTTGGTTTTCAGTTCTTTAAAAACAGGAAAAGAAAGATTTGACTGTTATTTCTGATTGGATAGTTTAATTTTTAGTCCTGTTCTAGAAGTTTTCCCTTAAATAAGGGGCTGTTTGCAATGCTTGCAGCTCCCCATGCTGCGACAGAAGCACTCTGCCCATCATGTAGCAATCATCTATTAACCCTTTCATCCCTGTATTCCCAGTTTTCCTGATAGTCACATGCTGTTTACTGTGGAATACAGTGTCTCCCATTATGCTTGTGCAGCAGAAGGAACACATGGAAGTAGAGATGGTGAAAGCCCCAAACTATTTATTTTATGACCTTTTCTTTTAGGAGGAATATGAGACTTGATTTTCCACGAACCCAGAAATGCCTATGTCTAGAATTAATAATTTCCACCATGTTCATAGGAACATAGCTTACTATTTATGCTCCAGTTCTTGAGGGAACCTGGCATTTCTTGATTTGTTTTGAGCTAATGCACAGAGCATGTTGACACTCATCTCTCAAAATCATCTGCCTTTGCTAGCAGAGAGGGTGTTGGTTGGTTGATTTTGAAAGCCATGCATCAGAAGTGTGTTGCAAGACTCTACGAGGAAAAAAGGGATTCTACTCTGCTCTTGGCAGCATTTCTAACTCCCTTCCTCTGTGAGTGAAATCCTTTACAGAGAGCTGGGGGAATGGCTGCATGTCACCAGTGGCCTCCCCCGGGACCTTGCGTGGGGTGCTGGCTTTCACAGAAAAGGTAAAAGGTGCTTGACCAGCAGATACCCCAGGGAGATGCCCCAACTGATGAAAGTGTGGGAGATGCAACACAGATGTGCCATGGTTCATTCTAGAGCTCAGCCATCTGATAGACACAGTGTTCAGTAGTTTGGGAGGGCAGCAATGACAGGCTATAGCTTTTTTTTTGTCTGAAAGAAGAAGCTTTTGACTGCTGGAAAACCTGTAAATTCATAAAAACATTGTATTTGGTATTATTTTTGCAAATACTGTTACGGTTGAGATGTTCCAGCGTTATGTGTTTAAGGAAGAAAGGTTTCAATTCAAGGATGAGTGTGAGAGTTTCTTGAGCATCCCACAGCCTCATGGGTGGAAGATTAGATTGAAGCATGTGCCCAGAGCAGTGAATGTGCCTTTCCCAGGCACGTTCTGGATCTTTCCAGTCTCAGGCCTGGACATTGGCCTGAGAATGAGTATTCCTCAGCTGGCAGTATCGCTGGTATAGTTGGTGCTCAGGTTGGTGGGGTGGTAAACATACAGGGAGAAAGCCAAATTGGCAACTCATAGAAAAGAGAAAAGGAAATTGTACTCCAGTATGAAGCAGACTTCGTGCAACACAGTAAATTGTCCTTTTCTTTCAAAATAAAATGTAATCCTACTTCAGTGAAGTAACTGTGGAATCTCTAAGGTTTTAATTATGGTTTGATGTTGCAGCATTAGTCAAAATGGTGGCAGCATTGAAGAGAAGATAACTGTTCCTGTTAACTAGGGTGGGGGAGGGTTTGGGTTTGGAATTTTTTTCATATTTTTCTATGAATCAAGAAGAGTGTCCAGGCCTCCTGAAGAAAGTGCATGTTAAGTG